AATTTTTAAATCTTAATAAAATAAAGAGAAAGGGTGAGAGAGTGTCCACAGTAAAGTAACAGAGCAAAGCTACAGTTGTGCTGTCCCTCAGCAGCCTTCTGCCTTAAGTGGGAAGTCTTTGGCTTACAGACACTGACATAAAAGACACATTCACAACGCATTTCAAAACAAGAGATGAGAGGTTTACAAGGCATATTGACTTTATGATGACTTTAATTCAATAGGTACACTGGGTTTAGATATATGCCTTTTGTGCAGCCAAGTTAACCCAGGGTCTAACTCAAAGAGATGTACTGAGGGAGATGTGCTGCCAGGGGAGAGAGCTGCAATGTTCCATTGTTCTTCTAGTATCATAAAGAGAAGGAAAAGGGCTACTCATGTCCGTGGTTATAAGGAGGACAGAAGCACAAACATTTCAGAAGGGGGGAGCAAATTACAAATATAGTTATTTTAAGAAAATAAAAGGAAGTAAATTTCAGAATATAATGTGGGGTAGAAAAACACCATCAGTTCATCAATTCTCACAGGGATCCAGGAAAACTGCCCTGCCTACCCATAAACCAAATGTTTCAAAACACATTTTCTGATTAAATTCAGAAGAGTATAGGAAACAGCACTCTGGGTGTTCAAATGCCAAATTAAGTTTTAGTTTCCACTATGGGCGCATGTAGCCCAATCACTCAGAACATGAGAAAAACTTTTCCATAAGAAGGAACATGAAATATTCAGTCACACAGAATAACTGTGCTTAGTGCTCAAAGTGAACCAACCCCAGGATAAGCACCCAGAAAACCTGTTAGGTCTTGGGGCCAGCTCCATGGTGTAGCATGTAAAAATTTATTTATTTATTTAAAAGGCAGTTACAGAGAGGCAGGGCACAGAGAGAAGTCTTCCATGCACTGATTCACTCTGAAAATGGCTGCAATGGCCAGAGCTGGATCTATCTGAAGCCAGGAGCCAGAAGCTTCTGTCAGATCTCCCATGCAGGGCAGAACTCAAGAACTTGGGCTATCTTCCACTGCTTTCCCAGGTGACAGCAGGAAGCTGGATCTCAAACCAGCACCCATACAGGATGCCAGCACTGTAGGTGGCAGCCTCACCTGCCATGCCCTCAAAATAAACCTATTTTAAAAAGCATTTTAACTGAGGGATGGGAGAGAGTTCATTTAGCCAAAGCAAGGATAACATAAGATAACTACTACACAGAAGAAGCTCCTGGCTCCTGGCTTTGGATCGGCACAGCTCTGACCACTGAAGCCAATTGGGGAGTGAACCAGCAGATGAAGACTTATCTCTCTCTGCCTCTCCTCCTCTCTGTGTGTAACTCTCACTTTCAAGTAAAATAAATAAATCTTTTAAAAAATAAGATAACTACTAGTACTCATTAACTTCAAAAATACAGAAATTTAATGAAACTCAAAATATAACCAAAATCATCATCTACCACAAATTATAATGTTTATTTTGAGAGTCATATTAGAAAAAATTTAACCCTTCCCCCCCCTTTGAAAATGCACATGGGACTGGTGTAGTAGGTTAATCAGACCCTGGCAATGCCAGTACCCCACATGGGCACTGGTTCAAAACCTGGCTGATTCATTTCCTTTTTTTTTTTTTTTTTTTTTTTTTTGACAGGCAGAGTGGACAGTGAAAGAGAGACAGAAAGAAAGGTCTTCCTTTTTGCCATTGGTTCACCCTCCAATGGCCGCCACTGCCGGCACGCTGCAGCTGGCACACCGCACTGATCCAAAGGCAGGAGCCAGGTGCTTCTCCTGGTCTCCAATGTGGGTGCAGGGCCCAAGGACCTGGGCCATCTTCCACTGCACTCCCAGGCCACAGCAGAGAGCTGGACTGGAAGAGGGGCACCGGATTCTGTCCCCGGGACTAGAACCTGGTGTGCCAGTGCCACAAGGTGGGGGATTAGCCTATTGAGCCATGGTGCCGGCCTGCTTCATTTCCAATATAGCTCCCTAATTCACCTGGGAAAGCAAAGGATGATGGCCCAAGTGTTTGGGCCCCTGAAGTCAAGTGTGAGAACCAGAAGAAGCTCCTAGCTTCTCATTTTAGCCTGGCCCAGCCCAAGTCATTGTGGCCATTTGAGGAGTGAACCAATGGATGGAAGACCTCTCTCTGTCTCTCCATCTCTCTGTAAATCTGCCTTTCAAGTAAATAAAATGAATTAAAAAACCCTATACAATGTAGTATTTTGGTTATTCCCTCATACAAAGAAAGCTCAGATAAACTGTAGATGAATCCTCCTGGATTGATGCAATTCAGAAGCAGGATTGCTTCTGCCACCCTGTGCTAGACATCAATGAGAGTTATTAATGGGAAGATGAATGGACACATCAGACTGCTTCCTTACATGGCACCTTTTCTTAAAGACATCACTGCTACATTACCAGATTATGTCTCTCATATGAAATATGTCTCTCCTAAAAATTTTAAAGAACTTGCCTGAAACTTATTGCAGAGCAGGGAATGATGTGCCAAGGACAGTGAGTTAGCCTGAGTAGTCCAGGAATCCTGTTCTTGGCTGTTTTCAAGTTCGTATTAATGTACACACAACATAGTTGCTGAGAAAGTGTCTTACAGTTGTTTCCTGGGTGTGAAGCAGCTCTTTTCAGCAGAAACACAAAACTGCTTGTCCACTCGCAAGCACTGTGATAGGGAGTACATGGGAGAAAAGGTCAAAAACACACTGGGTTTGAGAGGAAGAATGCTGTCACCCTAGCAACCTCTATCCAGGATTCCCTTTCTATTTTTACTTCCTAGATAACCTTACTCTGCTAAAGAGTTTCACAGATTATTAATCTGGTGACAACAGGACTCTAACAGAATCTATGAATCACTCAGTTAATCAAGTGAAAACTTCATTATACTGAAAGTTAGTCTATAGCAATAGTTTTCAGGGCCACATTACTCTTTCTTTAAAAGATGTTTTATTTATTTATTTGAGAGGTAGAATCACAGATAGTGAGATGGATAGACAGAGAGAAAGGTCTTCCTTTTGCTGCTTCACTCCCCAGTTGGCCAAAATGGCCAGAAGAGCTGCACTGATCTAAAGCCAGGAGCCAGGAGCTTCTTCTGGGTCTCCCACATGGGTGCAGAGGCCCAAGCACTTGGGGCATCTTCTACTTCCTTCCCAGGCCATAGCAGAGAGCTGGATCAGAGGAGCAGCTGAGACTTGAACCAGTGCCCATATGGGATGCTGGCACCACAGGCAGAGGATTAACCTACTGAGCCACAGTGCCAGCCCAAAGCCACATCTTTTACCGTACTGTGTGGGCATCTCTGTGGGGGGAGAGGGGCACATTTTCTCTTTTCTTCCTTACCCATCTTCACATTAACACCTTGTACAAAGGCTTCCACAGACCAGTCATTTTGAAAATCTATCACTAATATCCTCCCGTGTTGAAAATGTAATGGGGTTAAACACAGAACCCAGAATAAGAAAAGTAACTTGAAGCTGGTGTTGTGGCTGAGCAGGTAAAACCATATGGGTGCTGGTTCAAGACCTGGCTGCTCCACTTTTGATCCAGCTCTCTGCTATGGCCTGGGAAAGCAGTGGAAGATGGCCCAAGTGCTTGGTCCCCTGTACCTGTGTGGGAGACCTGGAAGAAGGTCCTGGCTTCTGGCTTCAGATCCATGTAGTTATGGCCATTGTGACCATCTGGGGAGTGAACCAGCAGATGGGAGATCTCTCTCTCTCTCTCTCTCTCTCTCTCTCTCTCTCTGTCTTTGCCTCTCTGTAACTCTGCCTTTTAAATAAATAAATATTTTTTTTTTAAAGTAACCAGCCAGCGCTGTGGCTCACTTGGTTAATCCTCTGCCTGCAGCGCCAGCATCCCATATGCGCACCGGATTCTGTCCCATTTGCTCCTCTTCCAGTCCAGCTCTCTGCTGTGGCCCAAGTGCTTGGGCCCCTGCACCCACGTAGGAGATGAAGAGGAAGCACCTGGCTCCTGGCTTCGGATCAGCACAGCACACCAACCATAGTGGCCATTTGGGGGGTTAACCAACGGAAGGAAGACCTTCCTCTCTAACTCTGCCTGTCAAATTAAAAAAAAAAAAAAGTAACTGGCCCTCTTAATTAAAACCATATGGACTGTAAGATAATCAGCTTGGTGGAGCATTGAGTGACTGTAAAGAACTAGACAAGAAAAATTGATACTTTTCTGTATTTATGTTTTCATAGCTCTCCACTATGAAAATCCAGATTGAAGTAGCTCATTATTAACTCACATGGTAGACTTGCATTAATTTCAGTTCACTTCTCACTTTCGAAAGGGATTGGCAGCATCCCTAATAACATGAGGAGAAAGAAGGGTTGAAGACAGAAATCGAAAAGCAGGAAAATAAATCAGCTATGTTTCCATGGCCTCAAGCTCCAGATTGAAAAAGAGTCTGTTAATTAAACACAGAGGAGAGATCAGTCCACAAAGCTACTGCACAAGCTTCACATGTTGCTGGGAAAGTCACCCAAACACATAGTGCCCTGGCTGTCAAATGTGTCCGCGGGGTCCAGCATGGGGGCCAGGAGCCAGATCCTACTCTGATCTTCCATTTCCACCTCCCCACTGCCTTGGGCTCCGGCTGAGGGCCGCTGAGCCCTGCCCAGCTGGAACTACCAGGGGATATAGCCGGAGGCCAGCCACAAGGCATTCTCTGACCCACCCAAAGTGGGAACTGGGCTTATTTAAATATAGGGAATGGGACTCCTTCCTTCAGTGTGCTCTCAACTGCCCTGCTTGTGCCATTCCTCGTCCAGTGTACTTTAAGGAGAATTTGAGTGAGGCAGCCCGTGGGACTGGCCGTGCATCGGGAGACTGGGAAACGGCAGTGGGAGACACAACACCTGGGTTCCAGCCTTGACTCTGCTGGAGAAGCTCCCAGGATCACTGAGAATCAAGTGATCAATGTCTGGGAGCCGCTACCTGCCATCGCACCCACCCTCTCCCACACACGCATAGATGCCCCTTCCTGTTCTCCATACTTGCCGTGGAAACTCTCGGGAGCACGTCCCCTTTCTTCAGGACACCTGGAGAGCAAAGCAGAAAGTGTGGGACAGGAGAAGTCGCTGGAACTTGGGGCCCACGGTGGCAGATGCAGAGGCACAGAAGCAGCGGGCGGCAGGTCTGGGGTGTGTGCTCCCGAACCGCCTGCAATTGCACTTGCAGAGCAAGACTCCCCAGTGAATGTGGGAGAAGGAGCAGTGCGGCCTCTCAGGGCACACTCTGATCAGTAAATGAACTTCCTCTGTTCTCAGCCCCCGGGCCACAGGGAAAGGCACGCGCATGCGTACGTTCTCCCACATGCACACGCACAGGCGCTTAGAGCAGGAAAACGTTAGAGCACCGGGTGACTCTGGGAAATGGAGTCCAGGTCAGGGCATTCCTGGGTAGACTTACTGGCCCTCTCCTAGGACTTCAGTGTGGGGTGGGTGGAGACAGGCTGGGAACCAGAGGGCACTTGCTTTTGTTTCCATCCCTCCTTCCCTTCCTTCCCACCCCAGATCTCAAGGGTCAGGTGCTGTTCTTCCTTTCTTGAACAAAATCTTAAGAAGTGACAGCCACTGCTGTTGAGTCCCAAATCCCAGTTCCCTCACACATGCTGTTTCTCAGAAAAATCCCCTGCTGCTTTATTCCTGCACAGCTTCTCTCAAGTAACCCATGACAAGGATTTCAATGTAACTCTCAGCACAGGTGTACATGGCACAGTTTAACATCTAGATTTGAGAATACAATTTTTACTTGTGTCTTTTATTTGTGGTTCTTTTCAAAGTATTTTACACCACCCTCTAATTCACCAAGTACAAAAAAAAAAAAAAAGAAAAAGAAAGAAAAAAAGAGAACTGGATACAGGACTAACATTGCCAAGTATCTTCTAGGGGCCAGATTAACAGAGTAAATGACTTACTTTGTATCAATTATACCTCAGGTTAATTCTGGAGACAGTATTCTCGATTTACAAAGAGAAAGCTGAGGTGGAAAAAGATTAGAATTAAATTTGCCCATGGAACTATGGTAAAAAAAGTCCAGGTTAAAGGCCAACCAAAGTGAAATACTGGTTTAAGATATCTTTCAGGACCAGCACTGTGGCATAGTGGGCTAAGCCTCTGCCTTCAGCACCGACATTCTTTATAGGGGCTGGTTCAAGTCCCTGCTGCTCCACTTCCAATCCAGCTTTCTGCTCTAGCCTGGGAAAGCAGTAGAAGATGGCCCAAATGCCTGGGACCCTGCATCCACATCAGAGACCCAGAATTTCCTGGCTCCTGGCTTTGGATCAGCTTAACTATGGCTATTGCAGCCATTTGGGGAGTGAACAAGTGGATGGAAGACTTCTCTCTCTCTCTGCCTCTGCCTCTCTGTAACTCAGCCTTTCAAATTAAAAAAATCTTCTTTAAAAAAGGAAATATTTATTTTACCTTGGGGCTCAGTTTCTAAAACCCCAGATTTCTCATCTCTAAAATAAAAAGTGAGGGAGAGGAAGAGTATCTACAATCCTAATCCTCACTGTAGAGAAACACATAGGATTATAACTTATCTAAAAAAGAAAGGAGGTTCAAAGTTGCTATTGCTGTATGGTTATTTTTCTCAAGTTTAATATCAAGATAGCATAAATATTATGCATTCTTAGGTATATGTGTGGTGTTTGATTTTTAAGATTTTAAGTAGAAATATAAATGGAAGCAGGATGACATGGAGTTCTGTTTGTGATTACTTCTGTCAGTTATAATTCATGGGATTAGAATTGCTGGATTAGGAATGCTTAAATGTATCCATTCATTTCACACTAATGTTTATTATATCAGGCAATATTATTTGTGTAGACTGCTTTTTCTTGCCAGATTGAAAATTCAGGAGAGCAAGAAACATGTTTGCTTTGACATTAAAACTCAGCATCTTGATAGTCATTCTGTTAGTTGAATGAATAAATGAGGCTATAAAAATTAAACAAATACAATTTTTGATCCCCAATAACTACCTAGTTGAAGAGACAATGAAATAGATATCTATTTGATAACAGACACAATTAGATGAATGTATAATTTGTTGCTCAGAGACAACTTTGATAATAAAAGAGACATATTAATAATGACACAGGGCTGAAATGTATAAGCAGAAACCATCCAGGGCCAAGCAGGTTAAATGTTCACCCTAGCTTTGTAAGGCATTCCATTCACTATTTAGTAAGCATTTACTGAGCATTCTTTTGTGTGGTGTGTTGAAAGAACTACCAGCAACATGATTTTCCTAGATATTGGAGCAAGAGAACCTGAGCAATCAGAAAAAGTTGGGATGAACTAAGAGGCTTTTGACACAAAGGTAAGAAAAACAAAAAGCAGAGATGTCAATTAAAAAGTATATCAAAGGTAATTTAGTAGGACCTGAACCAAGGTATGGTGGTAGTGGGAATGAAGAAGAGGCAACAGATTACAGGGAGATCCAAATGGCAGAAACAACAGGATTTCAGTGGTAGATGAAGGCAGGAGGGAACTCATGTGTAAATCTTCATTTGGATTTTATTATTTAATGGACAAGGAGTTCTCAGTACATTCATGTTCATCAGTAATAAAAGGCTACCTGCAACTGACTTATAAACTTCCCCTAAATCCAGCACACAATCTCATGGGTAGCTACTATCTATAAGCCTTATGTTGATCATCAAGCCAAATATTTTTAACTGCTACAATCTACAATGGTCCTCATTATGATGCAGTTACTTAGAGACTAGAAGACATAATCCGTGTCTATAAGAAAGGTCTAAATAAAAAAGTAAAATTCAGGAGCATGCGCTGTGGTGCAGCAAGTTTGGCACAGCAAGTTAACACCCAGGCCTGAAGTGCCAGCATCCCATATTGGCCCCTGTTTGAAACCCGGCTGCTCCACTTTCAATCCAGCTCTCTACTATGGCCTGGGAAAGCAGTAGAGGATACTTGGTCCCCTGCACCCACATGGGAGACCTGGAGGAAGCTCCTGGCTGCTGGTTTTGAATCAGCACACCTCTGGCCATTGTGGCCAATTGGAGAGTGAACTGTCAGATAGAAGAGCTCTCTCTCTCCCTCTCTCACTCTCTCTGCCTCCCCTCTCTCTGTGTAACTCTGATTTTCAAATAAATAAATAAATATTTTTAAAAAAGAGTAGTAATGGTAAATATTTATTAAAAATTTAAGTTAAAAACCCACAAAATCATATAATTCAAAGCTAAATTTGGAATACCTCGCTAATTCACAATTTATATATTCACCAACCTTAGGTAACTAAAGCACAATTAAGCAGGAAAGAAGTAAAAAAAATTTTCCCTAGAGAGGGGCCAGCACTACGGCATACTGGGTAAAGCTGCCACCTGCAGTGCCAGCATCCCATATGGGCATCAGTTCAAGTCCTGGCTGCTCCATTTCTGTTCCAGCTCTCTGCTATGGCCTGGGAAAGCAGTAGAAGATGGCTCAAGGCCTTGGGCCCCTGCACCCATGTGGGAGACCTGGAAGTGGCTCCTGACTCCTGGCTTCAGATTGACACAGCTCTGGCCATTGCAGCCAATTGGGAATGAACCAACGGATGGAGGACTTTTCCCTCTCTTTCTTCCTCTCCTTCTCTCTCTGTGTAACTATTTCAAATCAATAAATAAATCTTTAAAAAACCAATTTCCTGGAATAGTCAAAAATGCACATTATAAAGTCCAAGTAAGGTGTCTAGCCACTGGCTCACCATCCTGACTCATAAAAACTCACTCTGTCCTGGCTACTCTGATATGAGTGGATGGACACAAAGCAGAAAACAAAGCAACAGGTTTGAGCAGTGAATAAATGGAAAGGGCTCCAACAACAATGCTGCAGAGCTCTGTGGCTCCTAAATGAATGTGATATGCAGGCAGGCATCTCCTTAATTTCTGCCATACTCTCAGTTGTTCTAGGACCATAGAACTGAGCACAAGAATCAGAGCTTTCAAGTCCAACATCCACAATTCACTTAGTGATAGGGGAGCACTGTAGCTTTGCTTCATGAGTACAACTAAACCTCCACACTTGATATGTCATCCTGTTTGGATCCACTGGAGCTGGAGAGCATATGGGGTCAGAGGGAGTATAGGAGCAAGGTGTGTGAGGGACTCATGGTGGTGGTAGCTGTGCAGAGGAAAGGGTGGAGGAGGAGGAGAAGAGCAAGAGCCCCTAGCACTGTGGGAATGAGGAGCCGAGGATGAATGGAGACAGGGGTGACTTGTCTGCATTATGCCTGGTACTCTCCTGGGGTATAATTGATGCAACATGAATAATGTGAATATCATGATTACCCTAAAGGCAATTTCAGTCCTGGTAGATGGATGACAAGGACATAGATAATTAAAAACAATGTGACAAAAGTTGTAGGTGCACAATACAATCACCTACATCATTTGTGGATGCCATGCCCATAAGGCAGGAACCACCAGGTTAAGGTCAGATCTCAGGGCTGCCATTGTGGTGTAGAGGGTAAAGCCACCTCCAGCAGTGCCAGCATCCCATATGGGCACTGGTTCAATTCCCAGCTGCTCCACTTCTGATCCAGCTCTCTGCTGTAAACTGGGAAAGCAGATGGCAGAAGCCCTTGGGCCCCTGCACCCTCATGGGAAGACCTGGAGGAATCTCCTGACTCCTGGGTTCTAAGCAGTGCAGCCCTGCCTATTGCAGCCACCAACTGTGAAGTGAACCAGTGTATGGAAGACCTCTTCTCTCTCTGCCTCTCCTTCTATCTCTGTGTAACTCTGACTTTCAAATAAATAAATAAATCTTTTTTTTTAAAAAAAAAAGAGTCAGATCTCAGAGGTAGCAGAGCCCAGAAATGACAACATTGTATGAAATGAAAATAGGCAGATGGTAGGTAGAAGCTTGGTAACTAAAGCTGGGATCAGCACATGGATCTTGACTGGCAAGCTGTCAAACCAATCATTAACCTGGACTAGGCTGGGATCTCCCAACTTCTATCCTAGTGCCCATGTCTTTGCAGAGAGGCATAACCAAGGAAGAGAAAATCATCTCTGGCTTTGGCTGAGGGGACTGTGGGAGCTCCCCACATTTGAAGCCAGAATATTTTTAACCCTGAGATTCCCTCTTTCATAGGAAGGCTCTTTTCTGGCCTTGTCTTCTTAGCATAAACCTCTCAAGCCACCAGACCTCCCATAGCCCCACATCACAGGGCACATGTGAATGTGAATGGCTGAATGAACAGAATCTTGAGGTATCATGCAAATGGAAGACTCATGAATCTGTTCTCGCGTCATGGGTGTACTTGAAGGTGAGAAAACTGAGGCAGGGGACTTT